GATCTTACAAGATTTCATGCAAATTTCCAGGCTGTTTTATGATGTCTGGAAATATCTCATGTATATTGTTTGAAAATATGCTCAAATAACCATTATGGGGGAGAAACTGCTTTGTGAATTATGTATCTGTAATAGCACTTCAAAGAGGTTCTCCCCTTTATCCTTGTTCTTTTTTCTTCCTGTGGAGAAGCTAAATATATCTAAAACAGAATGTTTAGAAATTGTCATTAATCATGATTTTTTTCTTTTTTCTCTCCACCCATAAACAAAGAAGGTAAGGTGGAGAGTAGGAAGGAACTTGATAATTATGGAGATGAATGCAAGTGATAGATAATGCACTAAATACAGCAATATTTTGTTGTACTCTGCTGCAGACCACGTTTTTTGTTTGTTTGTTTGTTGTATCTGTCTCTTGGGTTGTATCATGATTAAGATATAAGATTTTATTTCTGTATTCATCATGGAGTTTGGCTTTTGTGATCAGTGTATTTTGCTTATGGAGTGTGCGAGGCTTTTATTCTGTTGCTGTAATATCTGGCTATCAGAAAAGGCAACTATTTCTGAATGAATAGAAAACCTCTGCCATCATCTTCTGCGTGTGTGTGGAAGATAGTGGTTTTTATTGTCATAACTGTACCTTAAAATAGAAAGGAAGTCTTTTCAGTTCTAAACTTAGTTCTTGTTTTTCACCTGCTTTGCTGTTCTGAAAGTTTAACAGTCTTAGAGAAAGGTAACCATGCATCTGCTTCTCTTCCAGCCTTATTCCAACGTTCTAGTGTTAAGCACCTAGGTGAATCTATTCAAACTTGCCATAGAGGTCACTCTCATTCATTGGGATTGGGTCATTATGGCTTTATTACTGTGGCAACTGGATTTAATCTAAAAGGGGTTAGTCAAAATGTGGATCAGTTGCATCAGTTCTTTTCAAGTGCCTAGGCAGACTGTAATGTGGAAAGAATCACTGTACAGTTTTAGCTACCTAGTGATGAGGGACCACCAAAGCCTTGTGATTATATGTACTTGGAGGCATTCTACTACTGGCTGATTTTTATTTTTTTTCAAACTGGTTGGAGAGTATATGGTGATGTTTAGGTAGCATAGCTTCTCCCCAGTCAGTGGCTGAGTGGGTCATATACTTGCTCTGAAGCTGTGAACCATATCATTAGTCGTGCTTTGAGCATCAGCTCATTGGCTTCATGATATGATAGACAAAGGAATGCAGGCTAGGACCAACATGAAACAAGAAACTACTGTGGTGAATGGATTTGAGCTAACTAGGCTAGGACTAAGTATAATTTGTGTAGGAGGAGCTCAAATGAATTGAGGCACTGTGTAGCAGAGTATAAGCTTGAATCATGCTTGTTCAGATGATGGTTAAAACCTGCCTTGTCCTGCTATTTTTTTTTTCTTCCCTGTGAAGTGCTTTAGTGAGATGGCAATTATGCGCAAAGACCCACAGAGATATTTCTCCTCCTGGGACAAAGTGGCCTCAGTGCCATTTCCAGTTTTCCTGAGTTTTGCTTTAGAATCTCCATCTTTCCTTTTGGAGGTCAGGCAGGCCATTGGAATGGATTTGGTTATCCTGTCTCAAGCTGCTGTTCTCTCCCCCAGTTAGATCATTCCAGTATAAAGTGTCTGGATTCTAGCTGTGCTTAGTTCTGCTTGCTGGTGTCGGTGGAGATGCAAGGTGGGGAGAGTGGCAGCCCTCTCCTGAGAGAGCTGGAACAGTGAGAGGTGTGGAGATGTGAAGTCTCTTTGAACCACAAGTGGCTTTCTCTTTCCAAAACAATACTTGCAGTTGAAAACTGTAGGTGATATTTGGGCTGGGATGGAAACAGTATGGCTGTTCTTCACTTGTTTCCTGAAGCAAGGTTTTATTACATGACTGATACATGTCACAGACCGAAAAAGAACAACTGCAGAAGGCCTAACATTTTTATCTCCCTTCCTTTTCTTTTGAGTAACAAGCAGGAGGAATGAGTAACAAGCAGGAGGAACTGGAAACTGTGATGCACTCGGAAAGTTATGACCTTGTCGCTATCACAGAAACATGGTGGGATGACTCCCACAATTGGGATACTGCCATCGACGGCTATAGACTCTTTAGGAGAGATAGGCGAGGTAGGAGGGGTGGGGGAGTTGCTCTCTATGTCAGGGATTGGATAAACTGTGAGGAGCTCCCTACGAGAAACAGTCAGGAACAGGTTGAGAGCCTGTGGGTTAGGATTAGAGATGGGACTAATATAGGTCAGCTGGTGTTAGGGGTATACTACAGACCACCTGATCAAGGGGAGGCTGTTGACAAGGCTTTCTTGCTCCAGATGCATGAGATGTCTGGCTCACGGGCTCTTGTCCTGGTGGGGGACTTCAACCATCCGGACATCTGCTGGAAAAACCACACGGCGAGCTGTAAGAGCTCCAGAAGGCTCTTGGAATCCATTGACGACAGCTTTCTGGTTCAGGTATTGGACAGACCGACCAGAGGTGAAGCGTTGCTAGACCTGCTGCTCACCAACGCTGAGGAGATCATCAAAGGCGTCAAGGTCGGAGGCTGCCTGGGCTCCAGCGACCACGCCCTGGTTGAGTTTGTGATCTCAAGCGATGTAGGCCTGGCAAAGAGCAGGATCAGGACACTAAACTTTAGAAAAGCAAACTTCAAACTACTCAATGGATTGCTGGCCAAGATCCCCTGGCGCGCTGCCCTCAAAGACAAGGATGTTGAGGAGAGCTGGCGGCTCTTCAAAGATGCCCTCCTGGAAGCACAAGAGGTCTCCATTCCTCTGAATAAGAAAGTGGGCAGGCGAGGTAGGAAACCGGCATGGCTCAGCAAGGACCTGCTGAGAGAACTGAGGGCGAAGAAAGGGGTGTACAAGCTCTGGAAACAAGGCTGTGTCACCTGGGAAGAATACAGGAATGCCGTCCGGACTTGCAGACGTGGGATCAGGGAAGCCAAGGCGCAGGCAGAACTGAACTTGGCAAGGGACGTGAAAAACAATAAGAAAACCTTCTACAGGTACATTGGCCAGAAGAGACAGGCCAAAACGGGCGTACCTACTTTGGTAAATTTAAAAGGAGAACTGGCTTCAACAGATGAAGAGAAAGCTGAGGTGCTGAATGAGTTCTTCACCTCGGTCTTCACTGGTGGCCAGGATTCTAGTCTTTTTCACGTCCCTGAACCCTGCATCCCCAAACCTCTATGTGGGGACCAAGGAGGTAAATCCCTCCCCACTGTAAGGGCAGAGCAAGTCCGAGAGTGCCTCCTTAGACTGAATGAATTCAAGTCTATGGGGCCGGATGGCTTGCATCCCAGGGTCCTGAAGGAGCTGGCTGAGGTGGTTGCCGAGCCGCTCTCCATCATATTTGAGAAGTCGTGGCTGTCAGGTGAGGTCCCGGATGACTGGAGGAAGGGTCACGTCACTCCCATATACAAGAAGGGGAGCAGGGAGGACCCGGGGAACTACAGGCCGGTGAGTCTCACCTCCGTGCCTGGGAAGATCATGGAACGGATCCTCCTGGACAACATGCTCGATCACATAAAGAATGAGCATGTGATCCGAGACAGCCAGCACGGCTTCACCAAAGGAAGGTCATGCCTAACTAATCTTGTGGCCTTCTATGATGGAGTGACGGCATTGGTGGACGAAGGGAAGGCGACTGATGTCATTTACCTGGACCTGAGCAAGGCCTTTGACATGGTCCCCCATCACATCCTCATCTCCAAATTGGAGGGAAGTGGATTTGATGGGTGGACGACCCGATGGGTAAGAAACTGGTTGAAAGGCCGCAGACAGAGGGTGGTGGTCAATGGCTCTATGTCCAGGTGGAGGCCGGTAACAAGTGGTGTCCCCCAAGGGTCTGTCTTGGGACCGGTGCTCTTTAACATCTTTATTAATGACATCGATGAGGGAATTGAGTGCACCCTCAGCAAGTTTGCTGACGACACCAAGCTGAGTGGTGCGGTTGATACGGTGGAAGGAAGGGATGCCATTCAGAGGGACCTCGACAGGCTGGAGGGCTGGGCTCGGGTGAACCTAATGAGGTTCAACACGGCAAAGTGCAAGGTTTTGCATTTGGGCCGGAAGAACCCCAGGCACCCGTACAGGCTGGGAGGAGCGGTCCTTGAGAGCAGCTCGGCAGAGAAGGACCTGGGGGTCCTGATGGACGAGAGACTGAACATGAGCCAGCAGTGCGCTCTGGCAGCTCGAAAGGCAAATGGGATCCTGGGCTCCATCAGGAGAGGGGTGGTCAGCAGGGACAGGGAGGTGATTGTCCCTCTCTACTCGGCTCTTGTGAGGCCCCATCTGGAGTACTGTGTCCAGGTGTGGAGCCCTCAGTACAAGAAAGACATTGAGATTTTGGAAAGGGTCCAGAGGAGGGCGACTAAGATGATCAGGGGGCTGGAGCACCTCCCCTATGAGGACAGGCTGAGGGAGTTGGGCTTGTTCAGCCTGGAGAAGAGAAGGCTGCGGGGTGACCTCATTGCAGCCTATCAATACCTGAAGGGAACCTACACCCACGAGGGGAGTAAACTCTTCAAAAGGGCTGACAACAGCAGGACTAGGGGAAATGGATCCAAGTTGAAGGAGGGAAGATTTAGGTTGGACGTTAGGGGGAAGTTCTATACAAGGAGAGTGGTTAGGCCCTGGAACGGGCTGCCCAGGGAGGTTGTGGATGCCCCGTCCTTGGATGTGTTTAAGGCCAGGTTGGACAGGGTCCTGGGCAACCTGATCTGAATGTGTGTGTTTGGTGGCCCTGCTAGGCAGGGGGGTTGGAACTACATGATCCTTGAGGTCCCTTCCAACCCGGGTGATTCTGTGATTCTGTGATTCTGTGATTCTTTTCTAGGATATTTTACCACTTGCATTTCTGTCGCTTATTCAGATTTTGCCTAATCTAATAATAATTTCTAATAATAATAATCTAATAATCTAATAAAAATTCTAATAATAGTAATCTGAAGAAGTCATGCAAAATAACCAATATTTTTTATCTTCCTTTAGGTGATAACTGGAAGATCTTTGAAAGTACTGACCAAGCTTATACCAGAATCATCTCCAGCTCATGTTTCAGGGCTATAAAGCCACCTGAAAACTTCTTCCTCAGAATATCTGTCCTGTGTTTCTCTCTGCTACTTTAGGAGGAACCACCCAGGTAGGAAACCAAATGATAATACGAGTGACAGAGCAGAAAGTTCTGTGTTTTCTTCCTTTTATAATCCTCTTGTAATTTTTTGGTATTTTCAATATGCCAGTTCAGCAGCTAAAATTATCTGAGCTGTAAAACCTCCACCCAGCCATCAGCTAAAAGCCTCTTCAGCAACAAAATATCTGTCAAGCCTGCTTGATTTAGTGCATTGTATTTAGTGAGCACATGGCCTATTCCTTGGACCACTGAAGGTGATTAATTTTTTTTTTGCAATGGAACTTTATTGGATAAGATCACATAATTATTTAATGAGGTTTAGCCATGGAGATGCAGGCCTGTATCTGAAATATGCTCCTTAAACTGTTCCATCTAGTTCTGCATGCTCAGACAATTAAGATGAAAGTAGGTTTGTGTGCACTGGAAAACTCAAGAATTTGAAGTAATTAATGTAATTAAAGTGGATTTGTTAAATAGGATTAATTCCAGATCTCTTTCCAAAGCGAATTAAACTGAACCAAGTTAAGGCTGCTTTGATTCTGAGTAAAAGCATCCACTTGCCAGCCTAATGCAGTTTAAGTAATCTTCTTAAAAAGTGAATTTGGATCAGTTTTCCTGAATATTTTCCTAGTTCCTTTGGATTAAAACAAATGATTTCAACTTTACTTGCTTTAAGGCCTCGTTGAATGTGACACACAAGATTGGAGACTATGAGTAGTACTCAGGAAATAGCATTTGCATGGTACTCAGGAAAAAAGTGTCTGCATGCCTGTTTAGGATTGAAGTGAATGGATCTTTATGTACTTCTGTGTGCTAAACCGAAGCAGTCCAGTTTTATGCATCTGCTACATTTTCAGTGTTTACACTTTAGATGCCTACAAACAGAGTGATAAAAGCATAAAGGCAGGCATTGTTATATAAGGTATGTTGCTGTTGTTCAAGTTCTCTTGGGTTATATTCTGCTTTATAGCATGAATTTCTGCTCTTTAAGGTTATCAGGTGAGTTGTACCTTAAGCCCTACTGAGTGCTGAATTACTGGGAAACTTCTGAACCTCTGTTTAGTGTCTATTCTTTGAGCTGCTGGCTGCCTATGTGGATGGCTCAGACTGTATCTGGCTTCATGACTTACTGGCAGAACCTTTGTCTCCTGTAGTTTCCCTCTAGAGTGTGGATTTTTCACTTTTTTGATCTGATGCTGTTTGAGACAGTGTACTAGGAACCAGGTGGGGTGTTGTCTGGCTATGCCAATGGTTTAAAAAATCACAGTGCTCTTTCCTCCATAATGTTGTTTTTTTTTTTCCTCGTGTCTGTCATCTGAAGCCAGTTGCCTCACTTTAAACAGGAGTTGCATATATTAGACAGGAAAGTTAAAAATGTTTATGTTTTGCTGAAGTAGCATATAGTGTATCTAAAGCAGTATTTACTGTGGGAAAACAATTGTGTGGTACTGTTTACTGGCCAGTGCCCAGGTCTGCAAAATATCAAAGACAGTGTCTAAAAACAGACATAGATGGGTAAGTTCCTGAAAATGGGGCTCAATTTCAGCAACTGGTAGCATCAAAGTCAGAATCGCTGCTAACTTTTTGTTGGACAGTATGTAGTCTTAGCAGTTTGTCTGTGTGCTGGCACTTACAATATCAGTGCCTACAAGGTCCCTTTGATCATTTTGAGTTTGATGGGACTTGTCATGTGAAGAAGTCATGATTCCTGTCAGATGAATTAAAATGCACAGCTATACTGCTGTTTTTTAGATCTGTTAAGCTATGATTCACAAAGGCATCTTAAAACTGTCCTTGATGTATTGACTTATGTCTCCATTACCTGAAATGGATTACTTTTGATTGCAAGGGGGCTTGAAAGGGTAAGAATACCTTCCTCATGAATATTTTTGAGAGAAAAGATTACGTCGGGGTATTTGAGCCTGTCAGGCTCAGAAGAAATATGGGCATACTTTCCCAATTAGGTACCAGAACTAATGTGAAAATTAGATACAGATTCTTGACCCAAGCTCATAAGAACACAGCTCTGTGTTGTGCCGCTGAAGTTTACTGCCTAGAGTCTATCCATTACTCTGCTGCAGGTTGTAGATAGGCTTGAAAGATGTACCTGACCTGCCTACTAGATGTTCAGCTGCATGAATACTATTCTGTATTACTGGTGGTACAGGCAGGCTTAAGAAAGAAATGTTTTCTATGCAGTGTATGTTAAACAAATACGATTTCATAATTCCCAACTAACAGGCAATCTAAACAACTATTTTTTCTTTGATCTATGTTTTTTTCAGTGCTACTCTGTTTGAAAGGAGGAAGTCAGTATCAAAACATAAAAGGCTTTCTTCCTTGACAACAGGTTATGCTTTTTCCAAGAAGATAGCAATGCAATTTAAACGTCGATCTGTGGTCATTTCCCCTAACTGGTCTGATCTGTCACTAAAGCCCAACACTTTATCGTATAATAAGCTCACAATCTTTGATTGTCACTGACACCAGCACAGGAGCACTGATCAGAAAAAATCTTCCTTTGATTTCTCTGGGTGGAGGATCAGATGCAGCAGTGCAAAGGAAAGAGCTGAGAGGAAAAAAATAGAAGGGAAAACACAAGAAACTTTTGATTTGCTGCCCACAGAGATATTCTTTAGAACTACAGACAACAGTCCGTTTTCTCTTCTTAGGGTGAGCAAAACCTTTCTATATGCAACACCTGCAAATTACAGAATAATGTGAGATGTCTTAAAAACAATGTTATATTATGGTATGTGACTTCCAGTAGATACTTCTGCTCCACAGCTATGTGTATGCAGCCACCTAGTCCTTGGTTTTTTTTCCTGTTTCAGAAAGAGATTTTTTCCCAGATCTATTCAAACTCAAACTTAGTGTTTATTGGCTTTGCATTTAGTTCAGTTCTGACAAGATTTAATTTTTCAGATGCCTCTTGATTCAAAGAGTCCGTTCATAACTATAGGTAGACAGGCAAGCTTGTGAAGTGCAAATGCTTTATGCTTTCTGGTATCTCCTTCTTGAGAGCAAAGGTTTGCACGTTATGAGAGCTCTGTATCAGATTTTTGCTGTTGGTTGGCAACCCTGCACATGACAAAGGAGTTGAAACTAGATGATCATTGCGGTCATTTTCAACCCAGGCCGTTCTATGATTCTGTTCTTTTGAGCTATCGTGATGACATGGACAAACTATTCCATTATATTCAGGAGTGTGGATGCTCTGTTGTATCATATATGCTTCTAAGCCACTGAGAATATTCTGAGGTTTTTGAGGATTCCACACTTACCCCAAATTCTTACTCTTCTGTAGTTGTTGCCCGTACATGTCCTGAGCTCACAGCATGTCTGTATGCCAGTACAGGTGTAAGAGACTTCAGGTGCCTCAATCATCTGCAAACCTCAGCAAGGCTTTCAGATTAATGTATGTGTATTTTGAGAAAAAGAATTGTGCATTCTTCTAAGCTGCATTTTCAAATAGAAGTCTTCCTTTGATTTATGAATTTATTTTGCTCACAGGGACAGTGCAGTTAGAGCTATTCTAAAGTAACTTTTCACATCAGTAGCAGGGCTGCTGTGAGAAAGGATGAAAGTGGATGCTAAGATATTTTAGGAAGTTTCTTGTTCATTTAAAAAGAAAGTACAGTAATTAGACAAAGCAACCAGTGCCAAATGCAATGTAGCACCTATGAAAGACTTAATTACAGAGGAAGGTTATGTGTCCCAATTGACAGAGTAATCTGTACTCTAATTTACTTGTCTTACAACTCATTACATCTGAGATATTGATTTTCCAGTAGATGCCTTCAGTGGATAAATAAGTGCATTTTCTCAGGGACCTTGTTTTGAGTCTGATCTGTGAACCCCTGTCAAATGAGCATAGAAAGCTCAAACTTCTCTATTAGGCGGTGTCTCTAGAATAATCAAAGCAGTCATACTTCAATACTGCTAGTAACTTGTAAACAAAGGGCAGACAGAAATGAGTCAGATAGAATTGTTGCCTTTGAGACTTAAAAGATGATGCTCTAGCAGGAAGTAGAAGTAAACAGTGATTAGATTTTAGTTATGGACCTCGAATTTTAGGCTTTAGTAACACATTTACTTCAATTATACTCTATAAACTTAGTGCAGCGAGCCAAGGAGATGAGGGGAACCTAGAGTTGTTAAACCTTGTTCTGATGCTTTATAAGAAGTTGAACATCTTCAAAGTATACTTCAATTCATAAAGTAGTCACTCTGTTGTGGGTGAGATAACTGCTAACTGTGGCCGAGGAAGCATGAGATATTTATGTAATGTATGTATGTAAGATTTATCCGGAGCTCTAGAATTCTGGAAGGTATTACAGTGTTGTATTGGTCAGAATTTTCAGCATTTGCAACTCTTGCACTGATTGGCAGAAGTTATTTGTGCTCAGCAATTCAAAGCAACAAGAATTTAATTGAGAAGTATTATGTTCCCACTATGTTCTCTTAAACAAATAATTCCCTGGGATATTTTTTGCATTTTTTCTTCCTTTTTTTCTTCTTTTTTCTCTTGGAAGTAAATAGTCAACTTGTTAATTGCTTACTTACTAACGCATTACTGGAAACACTGTTGATGGTTTGATTTTATAAGTAACGCGTAATTGACTATATCCAAGATCCATCCAGACTTGCATTTCCAGCGACCAGCATTAGTCACTAGCATGAGTTTTAGAGAGTGAAATTCAATTTTTCATGGAAAATTTTGCGATAGTATAATAGAATAATAGAATGATTTGGGTTGGATGGGACCTTAAAGATCATCCAGTTCCAACCGTTTGCCGTGGACAGAGTTGCCACTCACCAGATCAGTCTGTCCAGGGTCCCATCCAACCTGGCTTTGAATGCCAGGGCATCCACAGCTTCTTAGGCAGCCTGTACCAGTGTCTTATTTCCCTCTGAGCAAAGAGTGTCTTCCAAACATCTAAACTAAATCTACCTTATTTTTTTATTTTTTTTTTTCTTCTAATTCTAATCCATTCCCCCTTATCCTG